AGGGCCGGCACGACCGGAGGCCGAGCGGGCCGCGCGCCAGCCTGCCCAGCCCCGGCCGCTCTGACGGCTCCTCGCCTTCCCCGGAGCCTGGGAGCAAGCCCCAGCACAAGCAGTACGAGAAAACACAAGGCAGGGAAAACAGAGGAGGCGACACAAGGGAGGCTTTTGTTTCCCAGGCCCCACGCCCTGCTTGCTGGCTGAGGAGGGGAGAGACAAGCAGTGCAGCGAGGCTGGGACCAGGGTACCTCCGCGGAGGCATCGCTCTCAATGCCCCAAGGACACAGCGGTGCCTGTCCAAAGCCAGCGCGTTCCTGCAGTCAGACCTCAAACACTCGCGCGACGCCCGGCTCGGTCGGCCATCAGCATTATGGAAGCTGGCCCAGCTGGAGCCAGCTCTGCGCAGGGCAGGCCCTTCGAGGCCGCGGGCAGGTCTGGATTTTGCTCCTCGCGCCCTGGCGGCCGCCTCTGTCATGGGAGAGTTCCCGAGAAAGGGGATGATGCGAGCCTCGCGCCCCGGACCTCAGCGCTGCTCATTAATCGAGCCGTGAGCTTCGCTTCCAGGAACGCCGTCCCCTGCTGCCAGGCAGCTCGCGAGCCCTGTGGCTCCGCCAGAGCAGAATGACTCAGACCGTGTCGCAACGCAAGACCCCAACATGTGCTCGCTACAAACCGCCTCCGGCCACGTTCCGGGGACCCCACTACGCTTTCAGTACCTCGCAAATGAGGTTTCCTTTCCCAGAAATGCCAGAGGGATGTAGAGCAAGGAGACTATTGATGCTGCTGTGGTCCTTGCAACCCTGGGAGGCCCACGAAGAGGCTGCCAAAGGCCCAGTCCCCCCTCAAGAAGCTGGTGAGTTGCCCTAACCTGGGCACAGCAGCCCCTCAGTCAGCTGGCAACAGTCCCACTGCTGCTTTGCAAAGCTTTTGCAGTTGATGGTGGCTGAGAGAAATCCTCCCGACTGGCCTTAGCCCAGGTGACGTGGGATCCTGTCCAACAGCTGCAGCACAGCGGGGTTCAGCTCCGCATCACAGTCGTCAGACAGACGATCTTGGTCTTTACTCAAGGAGATCTCTACCGATTATCAAGCCCCAAGCTCGTGGTTATAAACCAAGCCCGAAACCACAGAGCTGCACACCCCAGGGAGTGACCGAGTTCCACGCAGGGTCACGCAGTGCTGCACTGCAGTGCTAGTTAAACGCACAGACAACACCTCCTCTTCCGTCAGCCAACACGGGCTACTGCCAAACACGTGGGCTACCCCCGGCTGGGCCAGGAACCCGAGCTCCTCAGCTTGCTTTTTCAGAGAAAGGACGAGGCTCACACTGCAGGACCCCACAAACGCGCGTCTGACCTGCTAATGCGTCTCCTTGCGATGACGGTGCTGTCACCTCCCCAGATGAGTCATGCAGGAACAGCGGGCAGGGTCAAGAGGGATGTGTAAAAAGTAGTTTTTACTTAGCACTGCCGGCTTCCCAATGGTGCAGGAGGCTGTAGGCCTGTCTGACAGCAGGAGGGCTGCAGGACTTTTAGCAGGCAAGACCTATCCTGTGCCAGTGGGATAGCCCCATGCACAGAAGCAGTTTGAGTCCTGGCAGACTTCAGAGAGTTTTGAACTTCATGCTCTCTTGTCACAGCACTGAGGTGTGAGGGAGACCTCTCCTCCAAGCCATCTTTTGCCCAGCAGATGTCCTATAGCAGGGGGAAGGAGGGCTCAGACACAGCTGATTCTGCCCTAAGAGTCTTCAGATGCCTTCTCAGTCTCATACACTTGTGTGTTACATGAGTGACCCCCATCCTAAAAGCTGATTTCAGCATTCATCCTGCAGTTAGCAATGAACTGAATCTCAAGCCACAAAGTGCCAGAGACCTTCCTATTCCAGCTGGCAACCGACGGCCAGGCTGGCTGAGCACTGGCAGTCCTGGTTTCCAGGGGTCTTTGCCCCCAAAGCCTTCACCTTGGTGTCAAGAGACTTCATGCTGCACTGGCTGTGCTTGCTCAGAGCAAGAGACACAAGCAAATTCCCCATCTGCTCCACGCAGGATAAACACTCTTATCCTCAGAGGCCCCTCGCAGAGCACCCGCACGGCAGGTCCTGAACAGACCCCTCAGGCACTGCCTTTTGAGCAAGGTCCATCAGGCTCCGCATTGTGAATGAGCTGTCACGCTGCTTTGCCCATCGCGCTTTCCTGCTGGCATCTGCTGAGAGGCAGCAGCTCCTCGTCACTAGGCTCCGGCAGAGCCAAGCAAGGACACGGCACGCTTGGCAGGCCCAGTGCTGCACTCCCAGACTAGGCAGCAAAAACCCCACTGAGACCTCAGGGACAGGGAGCCAGGCACTGCCACAAGCTGCCCAGTGCAACGTGCTGAATTAGGGATGGAAACCTCCCTAGCTCTGTGCTAGCTCCAGCAAATCCTTGTACTGATTGCAGTTCTGCTCCAGCCTCTACCAGCCCCAGGAACCTGGTGTCCAGATGGTTAGTGACATTAGCAAGCACGGTCACACGAGGGCCTCACCTCTGCGGGACAGCCGGGTGTCTGCATCCGTGTCCACAAAGAGCTTCATGCGGAAGAGGTCCCGCACCTCCTGGCTGTAGAAGGCCAGGATGCCTTCGAAGAGCACCACATCGGCAGGGTACACAGTCACCGTCTCCTCTTTCCTAGCAGGGAGGAGGAGAGTCAAAACATGCTGGCGGCAGGGAAGGCAGGTCGGGGAAGGGGGAAGCAGCAGCACTGCCAGGTGCTGCGCCGGCCCGGGGACATCACTGCGGCACCAGAGAGGCAAGCGAGGGGATAGCAGACCTACCCCGCCGTGGCGAGGCGCGTCCAAGGCAAACGTATGTTTCCTAGAAGGACAAACGGCAGAGCGGGAAGCAGCCCAGCCCTCTGCACCCACCTCGGCCAGCTGCCGCTTGCAAGTCTCCCAAGCCAAGCCAGAAAACTGGGCGGTACCTGCAGGCACCGGCAAGGGCCAGCTCGGCTCCCTGCGGGATCTGGGCAACACTCCTCCGACACCGGGGCACTTCTGCAGGAAGCGAAGCAGGGCCAGCCATACCCAATGCAGGCAGGCAGAAACAAGACTACCACATGCAAGGGGAGAGTTGCAGGGGCAAAACCACCCTCGTACTCCTCCTCCTTTCCTGGCAACTCTGATGCCTTGGAGCCCAAAATAGTTGTTAAAGCCACAAACAGATTTTTCTGAGGAAAAGGAGGGTGGATAGAGGAAGGGAAAAGGGGCCCATAGGCCTCTTCCACTGCCGCATCTGTGTTGCTGCACGTGGGATGCAGCCACAAAGCTGTGCAGCTTTCTGGGCCCCCAGATGAAGCTTGACCTGTCCTGCACCCTCTAAGCAAGCAGCAGGGAGTATTTAGCGCTGAAGCTTTGGGCTGACACACAGGCCACCTAGAAGAGGTCCCTGAGCACCTCCCCCTGCCCTCGTGTCTGGTGCATTAGTAGAGGCCCAGCAAAGCTGTTAGACCTGGAGTGGGAGACAAAGTCATAGACGGGAATCTGGACCGTCTTCCCTTCCGTGATCTCTTTGAGCGTCTTGACGATCAGCTCGTTGTCAAAGGCATCTGAGGAGAGAGGGAAGGTTACCCGTCACACTGTGCACGGTAGGGAGCACCAGCCGCACGTGGGCTCAGCCAAACACGTCGGGGGGGTCCTGCTCCAGCCCTGGTCGCGGCTCCCCGCTTACCTGGGTGGTCGAAGTTGAACTGGCCTTTGAGCGCTTTGGATTTCTGCTCTGAGGTGAGCACGCGGTAGAAGCTGTCTTGGCTCACGATCACCACCTGCTTCTGGCGATAGTCCACCTCGTTCTGGCCCAGCAGCTGGACGATCTTGGAGCACACCGAGGACTGTGGGAGCACGGCAAAGGGGGTCAGTCAGCGGCAAGCCGGGCTCATGTCGCACAGGGCAGACGTGCCCTCGCTCGGAGGCAGGCTCGGCCCGCAAACCCGACACCAGCTGCCTGCGGACGGAGGAGGCCGCTTTCCAACCCCAAGGCCTCGCATTAAAGGACATGAACTTGATCAGGAAGCTCTGCCTTGGCCGCCAGAACTGGGAGGAGCAGCCACGAGCAGCTCCTGGCACTGTGAGGCTGCGGGCACCACAGGGCTGCGCGGCCACCAGCACGGGGACCGGTGACTTGCCCTTGCCACGCGCTGAGCGAATGGGTGTCCGCGTGGCCTCGAGCAGCGGAGCGCCACACGCTGCAGCGCGGAGCCTC